ATTCCCAGTCAGGGCATGTACCTAGGTTGTGGCTTCAGTCCCCAGTTGGGGTGTGTACCGGAGACAACCATTTGCTGTTTCTCTCTCACATCAATGTATCTCTCTCTCTCTCACCCTCCCTCCCCTTCTTTAAAATCAATAAGCATGTTCTAGGGTGAGGATAAAAAAAAGAAGAATCCTCTGTGTCAGGTAATAAGTTGCTTGCCAAAAAAATATTTTGTAATATCTTCTTTGAGAAAATCTGGAGTTATTAAGTGGAAACAATCAACCCTGACCTTATTATGAGGTTAATGGTCTCAGTATTTGCCTTACAAATGACAGCAGACCTGCTGATATATGGAGGTGTCTGTAAACATCACAGGACAAAGGTAGGGTGGTTTTTCTATACCAGCCGTGCACACGGAGCCCATGGAGGGATGCTCTGCCTTTTTCTTCCCTGGAAGTGGCTCCAGACTCTGGGGCCCACCCTGGGTCTCGTCCTGCAGTGTCTTGCCCAGAGGAGTCTGCAGGGTCTAAACAGTAGCAAGAGAGATTACAACCATCTCAGAAAGAAATGAAGGTCCTGAGACAGTGAGGCATTAGTCAGGGAGGCTGGCCCCACCCATTTCCTAGGCCCAGGTGGGGCTGCCCAACATGTGGCCTCCCAGGATGGTGAGGCCTGATGGTATTGTGAGTAATACCTGGGGAGTGGTGGGCACCAGGGCAACATCCACCAGTCACCTGGGGCTTCCCCTGCCCAGCTGGGTCTCGCTTCCTTGGATGTGCTCACAGGGTATCTTGGGATGCATTGGGAAAGGGGAATACAGGAATGTTTCAGGCCAGGACTTTGGAGGGAGCCCTGATGCAGAGCTAGCAGGAACAGGGCTGGCCTGCTGTCTATTCTCTTCTCTTGCGCAGATGGCCATCCTTTCATCCAGCCCCAAACACAGCCACAGCCACCTTGCTTCCCTGAAGATAGGAGAGGGCCTCACTTAAAGATACCATCTCAGGTTAGCAGTCGAGAAGCTGGTGTCCAGGGTATACTCCCCCCAGCCTAGGACCCCTGTCCATCACAGTGCCTTCATCTTCCATACACACCCTCCAGTACTCTTTGCAAATAATAGCAATAGTATTCAAATATTATTTTAGAGCAATCCCCACAATGCTTGCATAGGAAGATACTGTTATCCCATTTTACAGACAAGGAAACTGAACTCAGATAGGTTAAGTGACTTGTCCAAAGGTCACATGGCAAGTCACTGGCAAAGCCAGAAATGCAGAGTTGCAGCCAAGATGGAGGCATAGGTAGGAAGGTTTCACTTCCTTGCACAACCAAAAGAAGGACAACCAATTTAAAAACAAACAAACAAAAAACAACCAGGACTGACAGAAAATTAAACTGTATGGAAGTCTGACAACCAAGGAGTTAACGAAGAAACATTCATCCAGACTTGTAGGAGGGTGGAGACCAGCAGCTGGGGGCCAGAGAGGACATGTGGCAAGACTGCAGCTGGTGGATCAGGCGGTCCCACATTTGCATGGGGATAAGCCAGGAGGAACAACTGGGCAGAGAGACAGATCATGCAACCCAAGGTTCCAGCACAGGAAACTAAAGCCTCAAAACCTCTGGCTATAAAAACCTGTGGGGGTTGAGGTGGCAGGAGAAATTGGCAGTCTTACAGGAGAGTCTGTTGGAGGGACCCACAGGGTCTAGAATATACACAAACCCACCCACTCAGGAATTAGCACCAGGGCAGCGCACCTCAAAGGACTCAATTCACTTGTGGATAGCAAGGGAAGTGACTGAAAGTGAAGTGAGAACTGAGCAAGTGGCACTGTTCTGACCCCTCTCCCACATACAGTGCCATAACACCAAGACGACAGGGTTGTCCTACCCTGATGAATACCTAAGGCTCCACCCCTAATGATATAACAGGTGCCCGGAGACAAAAGAATATGGCCCAAATGAAAGAACAGATGAAAGCTCAAAAAATACAACTAACTGATGAAGAGATAGCCAACCTATCAGATGCAGAATTCAAAACACTGGTAATCAGGATGCTCACAGAAATTACTGAGTATGGTCACAAAATAAAGGCTATGCAAAAGTGAAGTAAAGAAATATATACAGGGATCCAACAGTTAAGGGAAGGAAACTGGGTCTCAAGTCAATGATTTGGAGCAGAAAGAAGAAATAAACAATCAGCTGGAACAAAATGAGGAAACAAGAACTCAAACAAATGAGAAGAGGCTTAGGAACCTCCAGGACAACTTTAAATGTTCCAACATCTGAATCATAGGAGTGCTAGAAGGAGAAGAGGAAGAACAAGGAACTGAAAACTTATTTGAAAAATAATGAAGGGAAACTTCTCCAGTCTAGTGAAGGACATAGACATGCAAGTCCAGGAAGCTCAGAGAGTCCCAAAGAAGCTGGGTCCAAGGAGGAACACACCAAGGCACATCATAATTACATTACCCAAGATTAAAAATGAAGAGAAAACCTTTTTAAAAAAGATTTTGTTTATTTATTTTTAGACAGAGGGGAAAGGAGGGAGAAAAGGGGGGAGAGAAACATCATGTGGTTACCTCTCACACACCCCCTACTAGGGACCTGGCCTGCAACCCAGACATGTGCCCTGACTGGGAATGGAACCAGTGACCCTTTGGTTTGCAGGCCAGCACCCAATCTACTGAGCCACACCAGCCAGGACAAAGAAAAGGGGAGAGTTACCTACAAAGGAGTTCCCATAGATGATCAGTTGATTTTTCAAAAGAAACCTTGCAGGGAAGAAGGGGCCAGAGGGAAGTATTCAAAGTCATGAAAAGCAAGGACCTACGTCCAAGGTTGCCCAGCAAAGCTCTCATTTAGAATGGAATGGCAGATAAAGTGCTTCCCAGATAAGGTCAAGTTAAAGGAGTTCATCATCAACAAGCCCTCATTATATGAAATGTTAAAGGGACTTATCTAAGAAAAAGAAGATCAAAGCTATGAACAGTAAAATGACAACAAACTCACAACTATCAACAACTGAATCTAAAAAAAAAAACAAAAGTAAACTAAGCAAACAACTAGAACAGGAACAGAATCACAGAAATGGAGATCACATGGAGGGTTATCAGCGGGGAGGAGGAGGAGGGAAGGAAAAGGTACAGGGAATAAGTAGCATAAATGGGGGGTACAAAATAGACAGGGGGAAATTAAGATAGTATGGGAAATGGAGAAGCCAAAGAACTCATGCATATGACCCATGGACATGAACTAAGTGCTGGAGGGAGGGGGGATACAGGGTGGAGGGGGATAAAGGGGAGGAAAAAAATGGGACAACTGTAATAGCATAATCAGTAAAATATTCTTTTTTAAAAGCCAGAAATGTAAAGTCATCTGCTGTCTCTAAGCAGCATCCCCTCCTGGCCACACCCTCTGAGGGGCCATTAATCAGAAAGTATAAGCTGTTTATGCCACAATTCTGGACAAAATCTGTTAACTTCCATTTGATTTGCATAAGGGTGTCACAAATACACATATATCTTCCCTACAACCCCCGCCCCATCTTTCTCTCTCCTCTTTTTCTCTGTCTCACTCATATATATGCTCAGAGCCAGGCTGTCCTCCTCGAGATTCTTGGAGGCCTGGGGAGCACCATCTGGTCTCCTCCATCTGCCAAGGACACCTGTGCTGGTTCACAATGTTCCTTCCCACCGGTCACTACACAGGGCCTTGTATCAGAAAGCAAATCTGAGGAGAAGCTGACCGGAGGAATTGCTGCATGCTGGGAAGCCCCATTTCAGCCTACAGTCTCAGGGCAGGGTCTCCAGCCCCAGACACCTCCTCTGTCTTCTGTCTTCAGCCCCATATTTAGCTGCCTTCCCACCTCCCACGACTTCCTGCTGCCGTCTGGAATGCTGGGAGGCTGGAGAAGTAGAAGGAAGACTGGGCTGGGGAGATTGAAGGGAGGGACCCAGAGCTGCAGCTCTCAGAGGGGAGGAGGAGGAGAAGGTGCTGGCGCCCTGGACAGGGAGTGGGTCCAGCCCCCTCTCCCCTCACTCTCAGCTGCACTGTCTGAGACAGGGTCTGCCGGCTACTTTCGATATTAAAGGCTTCTTATGAAAAAATAAATAGAAAATACCTCAGTAATTTTTATATTGATGTGCTATTTAAATGATAATGTTTTGCTCATATTGGGTTAAATGTAAAATTAACGTCACCTGTTTCCCTTTATTTTTTTTTAACGTGGCTCCTAGAGAATCTACAGTAGTGTGCATGGCTTGCCTTGTGTTTCTGTTGGCCAACGCTGTTCCCAGCCCACCCTCCGGGCCAGGAAGTTGCTATTCTGTAAAATACTTACTGCAGGGAACTGTTTTGAACTAAACAGTTCTTTCTTATACCTTGGTCTTTGGCAATACACACCCTTACCCCACACCCTCAGAGGGGCAGTGCAATGTGGAGGTCAGAATGTGAACTTGATAGACTGAGTTAAGTCCATGCTTGTTATCTGGAAGCTATGTGACATAGGGCAAGTCTGGTAATCTCCCTGTACTTAGTTTCACATCAGAAAAAATGGGAATAATACAAGTGCCCATCTCAAAAAGTCTTTTGCAAAGATTAAATGAGTTAATATGCATACTGAAAAGAGTGTCCAGCTTACAGTAATTGCTTGTAATTGCCATGTAGTTATCATTATCTAAAATATGGGGCTGTTCCTTGCTGCAGTTTCATGTGTAGCAATGTACTGTGCCTCTTTGGATACATTCACCCTCCCAGTCATCTTATTCTGTTATTCTCATTCACAGAGGAGGCATCTGAAACTCAGAGAGGTTCAGTAACTTGTCCAAGGCCACACAGCTAGTCAGAGGGATTTGCACCTGAATCTGCTCTACCCCAGACTGAACCTTAAGAACCACTCTGTGCTACCTCTATTGATACATGCCTACCAAGACCCTCCATAGTAACAACTCTATCCCCTCCTCTGGCTCCAGATTCTCACCAGCATCAAGGACCTACCAAGGGGTCACCTGTCACTATGTTGCCAGTCACTAGCACGCAGGAACCCGTAGCAGCGACAACCTCGTCTCGCAGCCGGTCCTTTCTCTCCACCCAGGACCGGTCCACCACTGCAGGCCAAGCTTTGAGCTCAGGCCCAAAGGTCTCAAAGGCCTCAACCATCCCACCCCCTGTGAAGTCCAAGGGCCCGAATTCTGGAGCCCTTGTACGTCAGATGCGCAGGATCATCGCCGAGGATGCTGAGTGGTCACTGGCCACCGTGCCCCTGCTCACAGAGCTCTGCATTCAGCACATTGTCAAGAACTTCAAGAGTGAGTCTGTTCCTGCTGGTGGCAGGAGGGAGAAGGCCAGAGGCAGGGCAGAGTGGGTGGGGACTGCCTGGAGGAGAGGCCTCAGAGGCTGGGTCCTAGGGCAGCAGCCCCTGCCCTCCCACACAGAGTCCTGGTCCCTACTCAACACTTCCCTTCGGCCCCTGGAGCCCACAGTTTCTCCTGCTGTCTCCACTTCCAAGCCCCACTAGACTCTTACCCACAGTGTGTCTCCATGACTGTGCCCTCTCTTCACCTTTCCTACTCTCTCCAACAAAACCCCACCCAAACCCTACCTACCTCCTCACCTAGGAAGCGCTCGCTGGTTGACTGGCCTTTACTCTCTCGGAGTTTCCTGTGGTGTGTATATTTTCTTGGTTTCTTCTTTGCAATGTGTGCTGCTGATGCTCATCCTTTTCAAAGACAAGTTGCCAGCCTCTCCTACTGGATGGGAGCTCTCCCAGGACAGGGCCATGATTCTGTCTGCAGCGTCTGTCACCACCTAACCTATGTGTTTGACTTGGGCATTGTCTGACTCCCCTCACGGGAGGAAGCAGCTGCCTCTGTTCCATTCACTCTTATGCCCTCAGCACTTAGAACCATGTCTGGCAAATAGCAGGTGCTAAAAAATTTTTTTGTTCGTTTCAAAATGAATGAATCAAATAAAATTGGGAGCCTCTGAAGTCAGGGATTGTCCCCTCCATCAGACAAAGTGATGATTGGGGGCTGGACCTAAGATTGTTTCCTTATTCCCTGAGACCAGAGGCTAAGATGTCAACTTTCAGGCAAGGAAAACCCCAAAGCCAGAGGCTATGTCTTCCCTGTCAGACTGAGACTCCCTGAGAGCAAAGTCTGCCTCCCCCTCCAACTGGGGCTCCCTGAGGCAGGGGAGGGTTTTCCCTTTCCTCAGTGCCCCAGGCAGGCCCAGCCTGGGACACCGTGCGGTGGTTTCCCCAGCACTGTGACTTCTGCTTTCCTTCTTCTGTCCCCACAGACAACCCTATCCTGAAGAAGCTGCCTCCACAGCACCAGCAGAAGGTACTGAACCACCTGTCCCCTGACCTGCCACTGGCTGTGACTGCCAACCTGATCGATGATGAGAACTACTGGCACCGCTGCTGTGTGCAGCGCTGGCCTGTGTGCCACTTGGACTTCCACGGCAGCAGCTGGAAACGCGTGTTCTTCGAGCGGCACCTGGAGAATCTGATAAAGCACTTCATCCCAGGCACCACGGACCCCGCCGTGATCCTCGACCTATTGCCGCTCTGCAGAACCTACGTGCGTAGGATCCGTGTGGATCAGTTCCTTCCACCGGTGCAGCTACCACCTCAGCCATACAGTGGGGAACAGTCCGACTCCGGCAGCGAGGGAGAGATGGATGAGCCCACCATGGACCACTACCAACTGGGTGACCTGGTGGCTGGCCTGAACCAGCTGGAGGAGCTGGACCTGGTGTATGGTGTCAAGGACTGCGGCATGAACTTCGAGTGGAACCTGTTTCTCTTCACCTACCGTGACTGCCACTCCTTGGCCGAGACCCTTAAGGCGTGCCACACCCTCAAGGTACTGTTGGTCCCCACCCCCTAACCTTCCCCCATTCCCATTTTCTGCATCTCTCTGATTCCCTCTCACCTCTTCTTCCTCTTCCTCAGCTATCGTCGTTTTCCTCCTCTCATTTCCTTACTCACTGACCGACTGTCCCTTCATGCACCCTGCACCCAGCTGGGTTCTGGGGACGCAGAGATGAACAAGGCACTGCCCTCCCCATTCAGCTATTTATTCATTCAACAAACATCTGTGCTCTGGGCTCTGTCCTAGGTGCTGAAGATTCAGCATGGAGCAAAATTATACCATTTGTGCCCTCTGGAGCTAACTGTCTAGTGCAATAAAAGACACTAATCAGCAATCATGTGAATATAAAACTGCAACTAGGGTATCTGCCAGATTTAGCACACACACAAAAAAACCAGAGCGTCCAGTTAAATTTGAATTCCAGATATACATTGAATGATTTTTTAGTATAAATAAGTCCCAAATGTTCTGATTGGTAGAGAGAGAGCCTGCCAGGAAACCGGAAAGGAAGGAAAGGGGACATGGCATTGTGTCACCAAGCCAAGGGAGGGTGCGTTTCAAGAAGAGGAGGTGAGCAGCAATGGGGTGGGTGGAGCTGGGGGCTGGGCTTAGCAAACATGAAGGTTATTTGGTTGAGGGGAGGAAGGAGCTATGTCAGTGGGGTGCCAGGAGCAAGGCCAGAGCCCAGATTGCAGTGGTTTATGGAGAGAGTGGGAAGTGAGGAAACTGGATGTCTGCGATCAACTTTTTCAAGAACTTGGCTGTGAAAGGGGAGAAAGGTAGGATAGAAATAGATGAGGGTTCGGGGTTTTCTTAAGGAGAAACTTGCATGAGTGTAAAACCAATGTAGATTTTCATCCAGTTGCAGGAAATGAGTTGAGTCCAGAACAGAGGCACAGGCAGGTCCATTGACCACGAAGGGTTCCTGAGAAAGCAGGAGGGCGGGATCCAGGACTGAGGTGGGGCGGTCAGCCCTGGACAGAAGGGAGAGTGGAGGAAAATCAGGAGTTCCCATTCACTGGCTGCGGAGGCAGGAGGAGATTCACCTGCTGCAAGGAAGCTTTAGGGTGGTCCCTGAAGTCCAAGGAGGCCGTGGAATGTTGGGATTGATGTAGATTATGAGAGGACATGTTGGCCAGAGAAACAGAACTGAATCAGCACACAGCCTTGAGGAGCGATCAGTGGCTCCAGCGAGACCAGCAAGTTCTGTCACGTAACATTTCCCATCATGTCAGTTGCTCGGGCACAGAAAATAGACAGTGGGCTGGATCCAGGGTGGCAGCTTTGCCAGAAGGACGCAATGAAAAGGTGAGAAAGACAGTGGACTCTAAGCTGGCTAAGAGTGGTTTAAAGAAAGGAGAAGACTGAAGGATAGGGAGAGAGTAGACAGGCCAGCCACTCTGAGGTCTCAAGGAAGAGAAAGGAGTGGAATAAGTCAGTGAGAAGAAAAGAGACAGGGGTTCCCATCTCTCATATTCATAATGCTATCCTACACCTTTTCCTGTATCTGTTTACTTCATCCCATCCATGTCCTGATTCTCACCCTTCCCACTTTCTCCCTGGTTCTTACCCTGGCAATCTCCTTTGAAAAGTCCTCTCCTTGCCATGGTGGATCCCAGCCAGCCGAAGAGGCGGCAGCGAGGGACTGCTGGGTCAAACGGACCTGGATTCAAAACTTGCCCCCACACCTTAACCACAGTGTGACTCTGGGCACATGATGTGTCTGCCCTAAGCCTCCATTTTCTGTCTATAAAATGGAGATAACTTGTTCCACCTCACTGGGATGCTGAGGGTGAGAGACAGTGGCTGTGAAATGTTCTAGCAGCATGTCCAGAACATAGTAATTTCTCAAGAAATTGTAGCCTTTTCCCCCTACTACCTGCCACCAATTCTGCACCACTCTGCCATGCTGGGTACACCTGTCCTGCTCAAGAGCCAACCAGGTGGCCAACGCAAGGTGAGCAGAACCTCAGGCCTCCCTTTGGCTCCCTCCTCTACCTGCAGAAGGGAGGTAGGCAGGCAGGTTACCCCTGGCTACCAAGTGCTATGCACGCTTTACTTGCCCACAGATCTTTAGGCTGACCCGAAGCAAGGTGGACGATGACAAGGCACGCATCCTAATTCGTAGCCTGCTGGACCACCCAGCCCTCGAGGAGCTGGACCTGTCACACAACCTCATTGGGGACCGTGGCGCACGTGCTGCCGCCAAGCTGCTGAGCCACAGCCGCCTGCGTGTGCTCAGCCTGGCCAACAACCAGGTGCGTGCGCCTGGCGCCCAGTCGCTGGCTCACGCTCTGGCACACAACACCAACCTCCTTTCCCTCAACCTGCGCCTCAACTGCATCGAGGATGAGGGCGGCCAGGCACTCGCCCACGCCTTGCAGACCAACAAGTGCCTCACCACACTGCACCTCGGCGGCAACGAGCTTTCCGAGCCTACAGCCACTCTCATCTCCCAGGTGCTCTCTGTCAACACCACGCTCATCAGCATCAACCTGTCCTGCAACCACATAGGACCGGTGAGCCACAGCTTCTGGGGCAGGCAGGGCCACGGAGAGGCCCTGGGGCCTTGAGGGTGCAGGTGGAATCCAGCGGTCACAGGGCACTTACCAGGCAACTGTTAAGATCACAGACTATATCTGCATCCAATGCCAAGTCTGCCATTTAGCACCTCAGTTAAGTTACTTAATGTTTCTCGGCCTCCGTTTTCTCATCTGTAAAATGGGGATAATAATGCCATCTACTTCGAAATGTAGTTACTGGGAGGATTAAATGAGTTGTACTTGTAAAACAGTTAACCATTGCAGGCACGGTCTAGGTCCTCGGTAAGTGCTAGCTGTTGCTACCACTCAGGGTTATATGAGTATGCTGTGCTCAGTACCCAATATCCATTAGTTTTCCTTTAATCCTCACAATTATCTAGTAAAATGTATATTCTTAACCCCACTTTACAGATGGAAAATTGTCTCAGAGACATCAGTGATGTGCCCGAGAGCATCCAATCAGTAGGAAGTGGCAGAGCTGTGATTAAACCCAGGGCTGATTGAAAGCTGGGGTCCTTTCCAGTAGACAAGGTTTCTCAAACTGTCTTGATCAAGTCTCACAGTAAGAAATGCAATTTACATGAATACCTAGTGAACATATACATGAATGTAACCTAATTGAAATTTACTTTTACTGCTTGATATGTCTGCTAATGTTTTCCTTTATAGTCTATTTTTTTTAAAATAAATGCTTCTGTATTACGTTGACTTTGCAACACACAATTGGGACACAACCACAGAGCAGCAGCTCTGCCTCCCAACATGAAATTCCTTCCCATTGGGCCGAGCCCACCTGACCCACACGGGGCTGAAACTGTGAGGCGGCCCCTCTAGGTGCTTCAGTGAAGACCCTGTTCCTTCTACTGAACCTCCCCAGAGAGCAGCCTTGCTCACACTCACACTGTCTTCAAAGGGGGTGCTCTTGGAATTGGCTTAAACAAGGGGAATATTCCCTATGGGCCATTATCAGAAGCCCCAAGGTAGGGGGTTCTGGGGTTGGAAAATACCTTGGCTCTCTGGCGCTCCTCATGGGGTCCCAAGATAGCTACTGCAGCTCACATAGAACAGAATAGAATGAAAATGTCAGGGTGCTGCACAATTATGTCAAGTACTATTTTGTTCCAGACACATGTCCATGGAAAAAAAATGACCCTTCCCACCCTGGCTGGTATGGCTCAGCAGATTGAGCACCAGCCTATGAACCGAGGGGTCACTGGTTTCATTCCCAGTAGGGGTGCATGCCTCTGGTTGCAGGCCAGTGTGTGTGTGTGGGGGGTGGGTGGTGAGAGGCAGCCACGCATTGATGATTCTCTCCCTCTTTCTCTCTCCCTCCCCCCTCTCTAAAAATAAATAAAATATATTTTTTAAAAAATGACGCTTCCCTTGCACACCCCCCCTCCCAGGACGGTGGGAAGCAGCTCCTGGAAGGCATGTCCGACAATAAGACCCTCCTGCAGTTCGACTTGCGCCTGTCAGACGTGACCCAGGAGAGCGAGTACCTCATTGGCCAGGCCCTCTGTGCCAACCGTGAAGAGGCCCGCCAGCGCACCCTGAACGTCAGCCACTTCCTGTCACCACTCACTGCCAAGGGCCCTGAGAACCCTGCAGGATAAGATAGGGGACAGGGCTGGGGCAGTGAGACCTGGGTCACTGCCCCACTGCCACCCCTCATTTCACGCTTCCCCCACGCCTGCTGCAGAGTGCCACACTGGTTCCCTGGGAGGGAGGGAGGGGGGACCATGAAGATCATCGGAGTGTAATCAAGGGTCATGTGCATAAAGGTGTGAGGAAGGGAGGGGGCCTAGGATAGGGTGAGAAGGGGTGTAAATTGGGACCCAGCCCCGTAGCCAGAGAGAATATATTACCCCTGAAAATAAGTGATTTCTTCCAGGTATAGGGAGAGACAGAGAGAACTCTGAAGGGCTGCCTGCCCAGAGTCTCCCACAGGGCCACCCACGACCCTGATCACCGCCATCTTCCTCTTTACTGAACAGATCCTTGACCTCCTTCAAACACACACACACACACACACACACACACACACACCCTCTCTCTCTCTCTCTCTCTCTCTCTCCCTGCCCTGGTCCTGCTACAGCAGAACTTTGCCTGGCTCTTCCACCCTCACCCCTGCAGATGCCTCCTCCCTATTACTTGACTCTGCTTGAGTAACCCAGTTCTACAGGCCACGGCATCCCCTAATCCTTCCCCACAACCTGGGGAGGAGGAAACAGAGGTGATGGCTTCTCATGGGAGGGGAAGATGGTGGGGGAGGTGTCACGCTGGGGAGGGAAGTCAGTGAGTCATCCAAAACTTTATTATCCACCAGTTTGAATTGTACAATCTTTGCGCTTGGAAATCCACGACAGAAAGGCCACAGTGTGATGCACCCAATTGACAGAGACCTGTCTTCTCCCAACCAGGCCCAGCCCACCCCACAAGCCCTTGTCCCCAGGACACACGGAGCCTTCCAGGCCCCCTCCACAAGTCCCCAACACTCTGTGGCTGCCCACCCTGGAGCCACACCCACAGAAATCACATCAACCCACGGCCATGAGAGGACCTGACTGATGGATTCAGGCTGAGTCCCATCTCCCCTCCTCCTCAGACTGAGGGCCCCACAACCTGCAGATCGGTTTTCAAAGGGTGGGCCGCAGGCTGAAACCACAGCCTAGCGGTGCCTGCTCTCTGGGGGCTCCTCCCAACAAGCAGGCGCTGAGCAGAGCACCAAAGGGGGCTTGGGAGTGACTGCAATGTGTGCCTGTCCAGGCAACCCCGAGTCTGTCTGTGCCTGACACCCTCTGACAGTTCCAGAGTGCAAATGTGTAGGTGTGAGGGTGAGTGTGTGCGTACATAGCCACAGCTGCTAGCAGAGGTTCTAATTAGAGAAACAAGAACATTCAGCGTAAAGTTTAATTGTAGACTAATTTTCTGGTTTTCCTTTTCCTTGACAATCAATAAAGCCACCAAGGAAAAAGATCAAAGAACTGGTTTCTAAGTCTGTGCATGTGTGGGAGATGAGGCTGTCTGTGTGAGAAACCTAGGCAGGAACAGTCAGTACAGGCAAAAGTAGTAATAGGGACCCCCTTTACCTTCTCCCAGCTCAGGGTTTACCTCAGAACCAATCTTGAGGGAGGAGCTGAGTTCCTCCCTCCTTGAAGCCAGGAGGTGGCCAGGCTGCCCCCACACAAGGGCAAGACGTTCAGGTGCCAGCTGGCCAAGAACTGGGGCCTGAGGCCACAGCTCACCATCTGTACCTCACAGACGTCCACTCAGAGGAAAGAGGGGTGCTCCAACTGCCAGGCCCCCGAGGAGCACAGACTCGGGGTCCAGGCGGGTTCAGTGCTAGCAGGCAGATGGGCACTGCTGTCAGGGAATCGTAATGGGCAGCTGTACCCTCCTGCCTAAGCCTCCCCTTCTCTGGCCTTCAGCCATCTCCACAGGAAAACAAAGCTCAACCGCCACAGGCCACAGACTGTCTCTACAACCTGTGCCTCCCGACCCCCCCAGGGGGAGGGGGGCAGGGGAGCCAGAGATGTTGCATAGGTAGAGGCCATGCCCTTGGCGGGTGCGGGCCTAGCTTGGCTGACGGAAGATGGGGGGTGTTGCAGGAGGGGAAGAAGGAGCTCTGATAGCTCAGGCAAAGTGAGAAGCATCAGGGGTGAGCAATGTTAGGCAGCCAAGGGTTATCCTCTTCAACTTGAAATATAGCTCAATCTCTAGGCACTAAGTCTGCTGGGAAAACTTTAGCAGGGGGAGCTGGGAGGGAGGGGTGGAGGGTGGTTGTACACAGACATGCACACTGAAGCACACCAGAGTGGGAGCGGTGAGGGGTGAAGGGGACGTCAGAGCTTTGGGGGAACAGGATGTGGGGCAGGGCCCTGTGGTGGTGGCGGGATGCCCCTCTGAAGTCCCCGGGACACAGAGCAGGGCTTCGTCAGCTCATGGGATGGGGGAGGATGGAGGAATTGGGCAAGATTTAGAGAATCTGACTCTGACCCTGCCACTGGAATTGAGTATTTCTTCAGCTGGGGCTTGTGACAAGACCCTCAGCCCTGCAGAGGCGACCTGTGGGCTGCTCCCCAAAGATACGCCCTCCTTTGGAGGTCCTTTTACTCCATCCTTCACTGCCCTCTCCTCTGACTCCCGTCACGCTTCCAAAGGTCCCCACTGTCACTCAGGTCTATCCCCAAGCTCCCCAGTCAGTCATTCACTCTGACCAGCTTTATGGAATGCTGCATGGGTGGGATCTCACCCTCTTGGAAGGGAGTGCCCTCCTAGAACCCAGGGAGAAGGCCACTCCCAGAGGACTGAGAAAGCACTGAGGTGCACTGCCCTGCCCTGCCCCCCTGGCAACAGCTCTTCAGAGCCAGGGAGCAGGAGGGAAGGGAGGAGAGTGACGTCTGTGTCTCTCCAGGACCCAGACTCCAGGGGCCCAGTGAAATAAACAATAGTGGTGGGAGTAGCAGAGAGGAACCCCACCCCCATCTTTGTGCGATGTTCCAAGGAGAGGATAACAACATTTCCACCGTTTTAAGATGGGGTTGACCCCTGGCCCCGGCGCAGACCCACTGAATTCGTTAGCTAGGTGGTTAGAAGCTAGCCCTGCTGTTCACCAAACCAGGGCCCCCTCGGTAGAGACACAGGCCCTGGGAAGCCAGGCAGCAGAAGAAGGAAAGCCACAATTTCCCTTCTCCAGGCTCCGAACCTCCCCCGCTGCACAGCAAGGGCCTTTCCCTTGAGACGAGGCCCAACGCGGGTCCCACAGCACAGTCGCCACGTAGCAGTCAGAAGATCCATTGAAAGGCTGGACGGGAAATCCAGTGTGTGTCTAGGAAGGGGAGGGGTACCCTCAGGAACTCTGGGGCGGGGATGAAAGAGACGGCTCTGCCCCGATGGGATTCTATAGGAACTGCGACCCCTTCCCACCCATCTGTCTGTTTATGTACAGGGAAGGCGGGGGTCTCATCCCCATGGAGTCTGTCCCGCTCACCCTTGCCTCCCCCAAACATCCTCCGTGCCCAGCACAGACTCAGCATCATCGTGACTCCCCCTGCTACAGGCAGGGGGGGCACAGTCCGGCGAGGGGCAGGAGGGAGAACAGCGGGCTTATCGCGGGCCTTTGGTCACAGTGAGGTCTCCACGCAGGAGCCATGGCGGTGCAGCGGCCGGTGGCTGTGGCCCAGACACCCCTCTTGCCGGTGCACGATGAGCACCGGAAAGTAGAGGGCGTCGTGGTAGGGCGGCGGCGGCCCGGCCTCCTCCTCGTCGTCGTCCTCGTCGTCCCCCATGCTGGCCTGGCTCGACAACCGCGTCTGCTCCGTGGGACAGCTCGCCTCGTTGACGCTTCCGCTCCGGCTGCGCCACAGGCAGCTGCGCCTCGAGCCGTAGAGGCGGCCGAGCGAGAAGCGGCTGCCCCCGCAGCCAGGCCCTCCGCCGGGCCCCGGGCCGACCCGCGGGCTGGCGCAGATGCTTAGGGCGCTGCGCGAGAAGATGGACGAGCTGCTGACCGCGCGCTGACAGTGCTCGCAGCTGCGCCGGTACGGGGCCACGCCCGCCGCGCCCGGGCCGCCCACCCCGCCGTAGCGGCACATGGGCGCGTAGCCACCGGCCGCGTCCCCCGCGCCGCGCGCCCCCAGCCCGGCCAGGTCCATGAGCACGGCCTCCGAGTAGCTGGGCACCAGCTGCTGGTTGGAGCGGATGTGCCACTCGAGCTCCGTGCTGTCCACCGTGTTAACCCGCGGCAGGCGGTGGGTGAGCGGGGGCAGCAGCTCGTCGCTGGGGCTCAGGCCGCCGCCCGCGCTGCTGGCGGAGCCCGGGCCCTCCAGACCGAAGAGCTTCTCCACGTGGTAGTGCGCATAGGCCGTGCGGTACTCAGCCAGCACGCGCAGCGGCCACGACAGCGTCAGCAGCGCCGCAGCCCAGAAGGCCGACGAGCAGGCGTACCACGGCGGCCTGGCCGGGTCGGGGAAGGCCACCATGAACTCGCGGAAGTCCACATTCTTGAGGTGCATGCCCTCGCGCGCCTCCATGTAGTCGTCCAGGCCCTCGTTCTCAGCGAAGAAGCGCGCCCGCTGGCACAGATACGCGTTCTCGGCCTCCACACTGGCGAAGCTGAAGCACTTGGTGAAGCGCAGCCGCGTGGCCGGCGCGCCCTCCAGCCCCACCAGTGCCTTGGACACGTCGCGAACGCCACAGCGCGCGTAGTCGAACTCAGCCTCTGCCACGTGTGTGTTGACACGCTCATGATACACCTGCGGCGTTGGGGAAGGAAGCGTCTCTTATGTCTGCTCACCCTCATCCGCCTGCCCCATCGCTGCTCTTGTACGATCTGGTCAGAACCTAAGCCTATCCTGTTTCTGATCCCTGTTGGATCTTCTCATCTGGTTTATGGAGACACTGAGGCCCTCAGCTTAATCAGTGAGTTAGAGATGAGGGCAGGGATCCACCTCATCCCTACTGTGTGCTTTCTCATTTTAATTAAGCTCTGCTTCATCTGTAGGTCAAGCCCTGGCCATGAATTCCTCTGTGGGCCTGCCTGACCCTTTTGCCACTGTTTCCATTGTCCTGCACTGCCCCCTCACCACTAAAGCCTGCCTGTCTTCCCTTTCACAGTGTGTTTCTAAATGGGCCCTCCAGAGGAGCTTCTTCTTGAGGGCCTTTGTCTCTGGTCTCTCTATTCCCCCCTGAGCGATTGCCGTGCCTCCCTCCTGATTCTCAAGGCCCCAGGCTTCTGTTTACCCATCCCAGTACTGGGAGGAAAGTCACCCTCATGTTGGGAAATCTCTTCCTGCTACTCTTCCTCCAGGGCTCTTAACACATCTAATCCTGGAGGGACCAGGAAGCGCTGATGGACAATCCCCACCACTACCACTTTCCATGTGTCCTTCCACACCTACCTCCACCTGTTTGCCAGCTGACTCTCACCTCTGGGAGCCCTGAGCTTGGGATCCAGGGCTCTGGGTTTGAGTCTAGCACTACCACTTGGAAGCTGCCGATCTTGGGCAAGTCCTTGAGCTAAGGTCTTCTTGTGAAAGAGGACTTTGTAACAGCCACCTCACTGAGCAGGTGAGAGCATGCTATAAGACTGTACATGTGAAGCAGCCTCCAACCATTAAGCACTAAACAGTATAGACCCTGGAGCAGGTTGCCTGGGTTCAAATCCCAGCTCCCTCACATACTAGCTGTTTGAATTTGGGCAAGTTACTTAACCCCTCCAAGCCTCAGTTTCTTCATCTGTAAAATGGGATAACAGTTAGCTACTCATCAGGTTGTTATGAGGGTTAAATAAATAACTTGATATTTGTAAATTACTTGGAGCAGGCTATCTGCTGGTGTTTGCTGTTATTATTATGATTGTCGTTACCGCCCCTCCACTGCAGTGCCTACACGAGCTTGGCTTGCCTCTGCTCCTACCCCTGGAGACAGGCAGGGTGGACCAGATGTGCACCCCTCTCCCATCTGGACTGGCCTGTGCTCCCCTCCAGCCCCTCACCTGGGTAGTGGTGTAGGCATCTCCGTTGCGGTATCGGGTGACCTGGCGGGTGCGTCGGACATAGTGGTAGCTGATAGCCTTCCACCAGATGCAGGGTGTGGCCTGCTGCATTCGGCCTACGCGCTCCCGAACACTGCTCACATCGACACGGTGCTGCAGCTCATGGCGGGCTTGGCAGTGCCAGCACTCCACCAGATAGACAGCATACAGCATGAGCAGGAAGGCCAGGGGGATGTAGACGTAGCCATTGGAGCAGGGACTGTCATGGTACATGAGGCTGTTGCCCTGGTAAGCGCTGCTGAAGGTGAGGCGGGTCACCGTGGTGACGTGGCACCAGGCCACGGCCCCCAGGCAGCCGTACATGAGCAGGGAGAGCAGCAGGCACTTCCAGTGGGACTCACGGCAGAGGGACTTGGTGAAAGAGGGCTGGATGGGACGCTGCTACTCAGAGGGGCAGGAAGAGGGGCCGAGATGAGAGGGAAGTGAGACAGTGGCAGGATCCGGGACAAAGACAGATGCAGGGACAGAGAAGCAGAGGCCAGCACCAGAGATGACAGTCAGAGACAGGGATGTGGAGAGAACATGTAAGACGGAGAGGGGAGCCAAGGACCAGAGATAAACACAGAAGAGACCCAGAGTGAGTCATGGGGACAGGAAAGGGATCAGAGTGCCAATATAAGGAAGTTCAAACAGACACCCCAAGAAGCAAAAAGAGATCAGCACCAGAGATGGAGAGAGGGGGCCCAGGTGGCAAAGACATAGATGGATAGGATAACACCCAGAGAAACAGAGTCCAAGGGCAGACACAAAGATAGCAATGAAACACGAGAAGGTGTGGACGGGGAAGAGAAGGGAGGACAGACAGGCATCAGCAAAGGCAGGTCCCCAGCCCAGACTTCTTCCAGGTGTTCCACTGACATCACCTTCCCACTTAACAAGTGGATTCTCTCTTCCAGAATCTTTCAGTCCTACATTCTGGAAGAGCCGTTCCTCTGACCCATCCACCTCCATGTCCCTCACAGACAAATGGCCTCATACCTCCGTTGGAAGGGAGCCCCCAGGAAACCCCAGGTCCTATCTCTTTCCTCACATTCTGCACTCCAGGCTCCCTGTGAATCTCCCTCCTGCACCCTAAGACTCTTCCCCTGTTCTAAGATGGGAGGGGGCTGGTGTCCCTGAAGGAGGTCCCAGAAGAGATATCTAGAAGGGCAGAGGCATGTGGCAAGGGAGAGGGGATGTGGGATGGGTGTTGAGGGGTAGGCAGGAAGATGTTTGCAGCCCAGGCATCTGTCAAGAGAGAACGATTTTTGGTGCTCTCCCGGGGCCTGTTAGCTTTTTAAAGCACTTGGCGGGTTCTGTCACACATTCGCCCCGGTGAGTTGTTTACATGTCTGGCTCTGCTACTAGACTGGGTGTTCCTGTGGGCAGGGCCCCATTTGTTTGCATCTTGGCTGTCTACCATGGTGCTGGCACCCAATAGCCACTTATTAGATGGGTATTGAGCTGGATTTCTGGTGGTGCCTGGGCTTTCCCACTCTTCCTTCCTGCTGTCCAACTTTAGAAACCGTGCACACTCCCGCTGAGATTCTGACTTATTCTTCCAGTCCCCAGAGCCTAGCCTGGAGGCCAGCCAGGGAAAGGGAGAAAAGGATGGAAAAGAAGGGGACAGTAACAGGCAGTGGGCCTGGTGTGAAATCAAAGGAAAGATCTGAAAATGTAGAGAGGTAGCTGGGCTAGGAAATAGCACACAGTATAAACAAACCAGTGTAGGGTCCAAGAGCCTTTTAAGGAGCCTTGTCCTTGGGGAGTGTGCATATGTGCAGCAGCCTGGTGCACACTTGTCCCAATGAGAGCAAAGGGGCCCTACCTGCAGGCCTGTCTGCCTGTGTGCTTCTGCCCTAGTGCGGTGTCCATGTGTGTGCGAGAGTGTACATAGGAGATGGGGGTGCTCCTGGTACTTTCCTCAGTCTCTTTGTCTCCAGGTTCAGAGCACTGAAGAGTAAGGCCCCCAAGTAGGGATGTGCTTATGACCAGCACTATGAGGGATTCGTGGGCTCAGGCCCCCTGGGCGAGGGGCCTAGGGGTGGGGGGCTGCACACACATTCCCAGTGATAGGGTTGAGGGGAGGTATGCAGGGTTAGGTGGATGTCGCCTCTACACATTTGACCTTCTTAAGACCCTCGCTCAGATAATATCACTATTTTTCCCTTGCATTCTCCTGCCTCTGTAGCCCCTACAAGTTGCCCTTCCTGGTCTTCAAGATAGCATCCCCTCCGTGATATAGGATTCCGGCCACTATCCCCACCCGGATCTGGCCGGGGTCTGCGAGGCTCCGCCCCTAGGCCCCTCCCCCTGCCCAGGACCCCCGAGCCCCGCCCCTGACGCGGCCCCTACCCCTGCCACAGCGGACAGCTCCCGCCGCTGGGTGGGGACAGTGGCGCGGGACTGCGGCTGCAGCGGCCGGCTCGGGGTGCGGGGCGCCGGCCTTGCTGCGGCGGAACCGGTGGGGGCCGCGCGCAGAGGGGGATGGGGGGCCATGCTGCGGCCGCGCCCGGGGAAGGGGCTCCTCGGCTCTCACCTCCTCTCGGGCGGGGCCCTCGTCCGCCGCCGCCACTGCTGTGGGCTCCTCCGGGACCCCGGGGCCGCCACCGCCTCCGCCGCCGCCGGCGCTCTCTCCCGCGGCCGAGCCAGGGGGGGACATGGCGTAGAGGGGGTGCGTCGAGCTCAGGGCCTCCCGGGGGGCTGCCGGGGGCCGGGGGCATCCTGCGCGGGGCCCTGGGGAGAGGACGGGAGGGGGCGGGGCCCCTTCTGCTCCCCACCCCCCCGCACGGGGGGAGGGGACCTATAAAGGGCACAGGGGGAAAGGGGCTCGGGTGGGGAGGCGGGCTGGGGGGCCGGGCTGGGGGGGCCGGGGCCGGGGGCGGGTGTCACCTTGAGGCCCGCGCGGCGCCGCTCCGCCTCCCGCCCGCTCCCGCCGCCGCCTTTTGTCTGAGCCGAGCTGAAGCCAGCGCGCCCCCCTTCTTCCTCCCAGCGCAGGAGCCCCGCCCCCAGCCCCCCAAACTCCGCCTTCCTCAAGCCTACCTAATAACCACCCCCCAAAGAAGAGAAGCAACAGGGGGCTCTGAGCACCCATTCCGCACTCCTAGCCTTGCTAACCGCATGCATGACACACACACCACACCACCACCACCATCCTAGGGCGATTTATGAAATTGAGTCTTGGAACCCTAGGAAGATCCTTATTCCCAGTTGGGTGGTAAAGGGTTAAGGCAGGAGTCAGACTTAAGAGGCCAGACCCAACTGAACCTGGATGGAATAGGACGAAAGGGAAAGGATTGGAGCTATATGTGAGAAAGGACTCACAGAGGGCGGAGGAGAGGGCATTGGAACCATCCTTCACTAGAAGTACAGCCCCAGAGGAGCCAAGAAGTGTATACTTTGCTCTATGCTGGAGATCAGGAAATCAGAGTTCTAATTCTTAATCCTGGCTCTCCCATTAACAAGTTGTGTGACCTTGGACAAATGCCTTCCTTTTTCTGAGCCTTGGTTTCCTCATCTGTGCAGTAAGGAAGCTGACTGGAAAATCTCTAAGACTGACCTTCTCTGGGTGTAGGAGCCAAAATCACAGACCATAGGCCAGGCCGAGTAATTACAGGTAGCCTACCCCTTCACACCATCCACCCACACTGCTTTTCCCTGCTACACTTAGGACAGTAAGAAAGGAAACTGACATTCATTCATTCCTGGGTGCAGCCATTCAATAAACAGGCATTAGGTACCTATTGTGTGCCCTGTTCAGAAATGAAACACACAATGTCCTACTCTCAAGGAGCACAGTCAAATGGGAAGAAGGGACATGGAAACCAATCACTATGATAGAATAGGATAAAGGCTATGCTTGATCAATATCTGTGCACAATAAACTGTGGAGTCCTACTGTGTGTAGTGTGCTATGTTGGAGTCTTGAACATACAGTAACTGTTTCCCCACTTACCCTTTATGAAGTGAGGAGGAGGGAGGGTGAGTGACTTACTCAAGGTCACCTGCTAGTACTCACAGAGATAGTCCTAGAATCCAGATCTTCCCCATTCAAAAGCCCATGGGGATATTTGGGAGAAGGAAGTTAGCTTGAGGCAAAGCCTGGATATCTGATCTTTGCGGGTGGGGGACAAGCACACTGATCTGCTGGGATAGTCCTCCCCCTCATTAGGGCAGAAAGGCCACTGCCTCCACTCTCCATACACTCACTCCCGAATCCTGATCCTGCCTCCATTTTTCTGCTCTTCCCTTACCAGGCGAGGTGAAGGCAACTCTGTCCACCAATTGCTTCAGCACTATTCAACCTGCATAGTCCTCCCCAGATCAGTGAATCCATCCTCCCTGCCTACATGGAGGAAGGGTGTGATCTTGAAGAGGCAAGGGTTCTCTTTCACTCCCGTGGGAGAGGAGTGGCTCATTCCAATATCTCCCACCCTTGCTTTCTGGAAAATCCTGCCTCACAGCTAACTCTGATCCTTCTACTTCTGGTTTCATCCTCTTCCACCTAGTTCAGTCCCCGCTGCAGACAGAGAGCAGAGGTCCTACCTTGCCGTTTCCTAACCCAGATAAAATCCTCACACTCCCCACTTAGTTGTTATAATCTTCCTCCTGTTTCCACCCCCACAGCCTTCCCTTTCTCACTTCAGGGAGAAAGATAGCCCAATTGCTTTTGGCCAACTCCAGAGCTCCCAAGATATACAAGAACACCCCTCACCAACCCATTCACATACAGTACCCCTCCTTGAAAACCCAGGGAAAAGAGGGGTGAAGGGAAGGGTCTTCGAAGTAGCCAGCTGACCAACTTGTCGCCATGGCAACTGGGCCTGCTTCCAAAAGATGAGCCTGGCTGGGGTGGGTGGAAGCTGGGAGTGGGAGAACAACTAAGAGAACTAGAAAACACCGGGAGAGAGAGACAGAGACAGAGAGAGAGACAGAGAGGGAGGAGATGGGAGGGGCCCAGCCTCGAAGAAGACTGGGGCTGAGGAAACAAAGTCAGGGTCCTGACCACACTGTGGCCTCAGCCAAAGTCTCAGGCCATTGTCTTTCCAAATGATACTGCATGATCCCTCTATTCCTGAAGTTTCCCCAGAAGGGCTTCCTGTCAGAGTGTAGGTTATGTGCTGAAACCAGTGGGTGACTCAATCCTGACCTCATGTGGCCAGAAAAGGGGCTGCCACACACCTCTTAACTGTTCAGAGCCAGACAGGGATGGATGGGGGTATGTTTTTCTTTAAGTTCAACCTGTGTATGAATGAGAAGTGTGGTCACTGAACATGCCCGAGTTCTTGTGTCCTTGAAAAGGGCTCAGATGCCCCAACCCTTAGGCCTTCATAAAGGAAAAACATTTGCTGAAAAAAAGTTTTGGATAAGGGACAGGAGAACCTGGCCCTACACTTTGTTTGACCTTAGGAAAGGCCAACTCACCTCTCTGAGCCTCAGCTTCACAGTTTTAAAATGGAGAGAGTGCCAGAGTTTGAACCCAAGTGGTCTGGATCTGAGTTTATGACTGTACTTTTGCTCCAGCTTTTGAGAATAGGAGAGAAACATGTCAGAGGAGGAAGCTGAAAACCTGAAATCACATGACCCCAAGGGGAGAAGATGCCTCAGTTTCCTTGGGCTTTTCCCTAATGACTTCTTACTGCCTCGTGCTCAACACGTCCTCCCTCTCTGGTCCTCCAGGGAGATGGAGAGCAAGCAGTGGGTCATCTCCTCCTGTCTGCTCTCCCCTCTCTCCTCTCTCTTTACTAACCTCCTCCTCCCAAAGACTGGGTACTTTTCTTCTCCCCAGACCTCGTCCCTTCCCATTTCCAGTTCAAATGGAGACTTTCTTGCCCTTCACTCTACTGAGTAGTTGGTCCCACTGTGCGGTCCCACTGTGTGCCCCCACAGCAGCCTGTTCTGTCTCCTGTCTTAGCACAATCACTGTGTTGTCATTGCCAAGGAGCTTTTTGAAGGTTGAGGCCGTGGGGCATTTTTGGTTGGTGGTGGGGATGGTGGTTGGTGGGGTTGGTGTTTGGTGGATATTATTGTCACTGTGATGCTTGGTTTTGCTTCCAAGAGAGACAACAATGTCATACGTGTAGGAGAAGGTCCATACATGTTTGTCAAATGGATGAATAAAATGAGGTTGTATGGAGGAGGGCAGTAGGGAAGCTGGTTAGCAGCTGTCTACACTTACCCCAGTGTTCTTCCCCCAGTGCCAGAAATAGGAAAGGATGTTCTCTTGGGAATGACCTTCTAAAGGCATTGCTGGCCCATGGTCAATGGCACTTGGGGTGGGGGGTAAATCATGGGGCACTAGTTTGGGGCTCACCATGTGGATGAAGTTTGCCGATGGCCTCCCTGGGCCCAGGGAAAGCAGGGATAGGGAAAAAGGAACCATGTGTTGGTGCTGGTGCTGGGGTCAGGGCAGTCACCTCAGCAGAGTGTGGCCCAGCATGTCTGGGGCCTTCCAATCCTGTCTCTATCCAGAGGAACTGGGGATGGGGGTAATCAAATATTGTAACCACTGAGACCAGTGTTTCACCCCTGTGAGGAATGACCACCCTGCTTTTTTAGACAACAAAAAATCATAACCATCTTCCTTCTTTTAGACAACAGTCTGCCTGAGAAAATCCATTTCTGAAAAACACATCCTTGTGTCCAATTCTCTGTGATCTGGGAAGTTGAAACAGGAAACCCTCTATCCAGGACCCACAGGGAGAACCTGTTCTTTAAGGAATTTTTTTTTATTTTTTTTTATTTTATTATTTTAAGATTTTTTTAAAATTTATTTATTTTTAGGGAGGGAAGGGAGGGAGAGAGAGAGAGAGAGAGAGAAACATCAATGTGCGGTTGCTGGGGGTTATGGCCTGCAACCCAGGAATGTACCCTGGCTGGGAATCGAACCTGGGACACTTTGGTTCCCAGCCCGCGCTCAATGAGAACCTGTTCTTTAAAGACAACGTGTGTCCCCTTTCTCTACCCAAAGTCCTGAGAATTGGTAGATGAGAAACCAAGAGAAACGGAAATAGGTAGGAGATAGGAAGCAATGCTTTCCGTTCCCACCAGCCACGTGCCCGCCCCCAACAAGATGCCTTATTTGTACAATTAATAAATATTTATTTAACAATAAATGAATGAATGCAAACAACGAATGAAGAAATGGAGGAAGTGAAGGAAGGAAAGATTGATTAGAATTATGAATGGAGTGAAGAAGGAAGGGGGAACAGTAAATGAATAAATGTACCGAGGGATGAATGAGTGGAGGGAGGGAGGGAGGGAGGGAGAGAAAAAGGGGAGGACAGATGGACGGACAAATGGATGGATGGATGGATGGATGATGAATGATGAATGGGTGAATTAACGCATGGGTGAGTCAGAACGGGGTAACCCCTGACTCCGAGAGAACGCAGAGGGCGGGGTACGGGGGATTCCGGAGGGCGGGGTTTCTGTCCGGAAGCGCCTGTCGGGGGCGGGGCCTGAGGGGCGGGTGGAGGGAGTGCGTCAGACTCGGCATCCCGGCTTCCCTGAGTATCCTCTGCGGTGGACCCCACCAGCGCTCCGAGCCACCCCAGCTCTACTCTCTGGCTCCTCGGACCCCGGCAGCCCGGTAAGGAGGTCACTCCAGGCCAGGTGCCCCTTCCTCAAGGCAGACCTGCAACCCGGAAAGGCGGTGCGGCGGAGCCCGGAGCCGGA